AACATGAAGTCCCCGGGACTTCAAAGGAAACTCCACAGTCAATAATTTACTTGTAATGAATTCCTCTGCTTGTTGTACAACGTCTCTTTGTGACACGTGAACGGCATGGCGGGGGAGTTTTGTGGGGTTTAAAGCTGGAATGAAACTACCATTAAGACCAGGTTCACAACAAAAGTGGGGAAGTGGGGTCCAGAGCTTCCTGTGGAGCACCCAATCTGGTCCTACCCACAGTGTGCATCTGTTTAAGCAGGTGGCATCTAGAAAATAATCTAGATTTTACAGACTAAGATTCCTAAAGTCCTCCGTCATTCATAATAAAATCTGTCCTGTATTATACCAAGGTTTACTATGTGCAGATACGTGTACAGTTTGTAGGGTTTATGTATACATTTTTAAAAAGTAGAGGAAGGAAACAAAGGAGCACCAAATAAATAAGAAGGAAGGTCAAAAGATGAAAAAAATTAGAATAAAATTAAATGAACGAGGGCAAAAAAAAAAATGATACAACATATGAAAAGGAGAACAAAAAAAATTAAATAAATGTGGAAATAAAGAAGGAAAGTTTTAAGGAAAGAAAGGATTTCAAGGAAAGAAAGGAAAATATGTGAGGAAGGAAACAGAGAATGAAAGAAGGAGGATCATGAGGAATATAGGAAGAAAAACGGACAGAAGGGAAGAAGAAACTGGAAATTCAAGAGGAAAAGACCAAAGAAAAGACAAGTCAGAGTGAGGAAGGATGGACAGACAAAAAGAACATATGACATGAGGTCAAAAGAAATAAAGGGATAAGGGAAAAAGGAAGGACACAAAGAAAGACAAAAAGGCAAACACAAAAGAGAGAAGAAGGTGAAAAAAAAGGAGAGGGGATGAGGTGAGCTGGAAAGACACATGGGAAAATAAGAAGGAATGATATGACAAAGAAGGAAGGGATACAAAGAAGTAAAGAAAAAGACAGAAGTGATACAAAGAGAAAAGAGATATGGATATTGTCTGCAAAAGAAATCATTTGATGCTCCTTTTTTCTTCCACAACTTCCAAGACCTGGAAAACCATAAATTCCTATAACAGACTTTTTTCCAGACTAAACAAGAATTCTGCTTTAGATGAACTGATTAAATTGTGCCTCCAGATCAATGAGGACAGAAACAGGAACCAGATTCAAGGTGGAAAAAAAGACTTCATCCGGTGAACCATGAGACTTTAGCTAAATTAAAATGAGGAAGAAACCCAGAAGAACTTAAAACAAGTTTAACGTTTCTTGCTACACTCAGGTGTTTTATTTTCTTCATGAAAGCATGTAAGTTTGTAAGAAAAGCAAAAGGAGGGACCCCCACCACCTCACCTGACCCTGAGGCTGTAATATTGGCACACTAGTACCTTCCCCACAGGAATTCATAAACTAAACGATTAGCCTCTGTCTGTAATTGCGTTCTCCCTTTCTTAATAGAGGAGGTGAGGTAAAGAGAGGGGAAAAAACAAAGGACAGTTAATTTCTGATTTCCTCTGCTCATTTGAAGGCAAATTAAGTGTCAAACAGCTAATACAGAGCATATTTCATTTTATGAGCTTTTAATTTAATTCCACCGCCTCATATCACTGGAGCCCCGTTAGCCGTTCACGGCTAACGCCTGCTCCTAGTCTAAAAACGAGGGGGTCATAAATAAACATGTTTCAATTAGGCCCTTCACCGTAATAGGATGTGATTCTGTTCATTTGCCACGTACGGATGGTGGATGTGTCGTTGCGGCGGAGAGGAAACAAGCTGCTGGGCGTTCACTGTGTTTTTTTGGACGCCCGGTGGTGACTGGCTCACGCGGCACGGCGGGGGAAAGCTGACTGGATTGATGGAAGTGCCGCAGGGCCAACCCAACTGTAATTACAGGCCGTAATGAGAGGTTGCATGGGGAAGTACCGCAATAATAGTCCCTGTGTACTTAGGCATATCTTTGAGAAGGCTAATAACGATTAATTCTGCACACGGTTAGGGAACTTGTCTTAAAACAATTCAATATTTCACCACAAGCCGCCCTCTTGTCCTCCGCTTTGCAGGAGCGACAGCTATACAATGACCGCCTTTCTTATTTGTTTGCATCTGACTGTAAGCAGCGTTTGCTGTTTAGATTGCTTAAGTCCCAGGAGATATTTACTTTTGGCTGCAGCATTTGCACACGTAAAAGTTCAGCAAGCCAAAACTTGGTGGAAACCTGGATGTGCAATTAACTCCAATTTGCCATCAGGTGGTTGCTTTAATACCACATGTGATAAGCACTTCTTCTCACTGAGGAATTCGTTGCTGCTTTTTAATCAGGCGTGCAATATTGCTTCTTCCCAAAGCAACAGCTCAAAACCTACAGGATGCAGTTCCTTACAGAAGTTCTCCTACCCCTTGAAACTTTTCTTTACAAAGAAAAGTATGGAAAAATCTGCAATGCATTTTCTGTCTTTACCCTGATTACCCTTAATTAAGATACAGCACAGCCTCCAGAAGTCACCATTTTAGTAAATGCACTCCACCTGCGTGTAGTTTGACCTCAATCTAATTGTTCTGTGCAGGCCTCATGTGTTGTTAGAGAACATTAGTGAATAAAGAGCGTCATGGAGACCAAAGAACACAGCAGACGGGTCAGGGTGAATGCTATGCATTAGTTTAAAGCAGGGTTAGGTTACAAAGGAAAAGTTTAAGGTCTTACCATTTTTTGAGAACTAAAAAATCCATTATCACACAATAGAGGGAGTAAAAAAAAAAAAACAAGCACCTTCAGGTAGCCTGTTGTCTACCTAAAGTAACAGGCTAGGAAAAGGAAGCCCAGGTTACTCTGGAAGAGGTCAACTGCTCATGTTTACAAAGTAATAAAAGTATTATAAATTTTCTTTTTAATGTGAATCTAACATTTTGTTAATGCATCACATCTCTGTTCTACATACACACATTGGTTAGAAGAAAGTGATTGTTTAAAGGAGGCAATGAAATGCTTTATTAAATGTTTGCAACATGGCATCACACCTGTGGAAGAAGATTATCTGGTCAGGTGAGATCAGAATGAAGCTCATTGTTCAAAATGTGTGAGGAGGAAAACAATTTAAATCATCCGGAACTCCCCATCTCTACCATGATACATGTTGTTGGCAGTATCATGCTGTGGTGATGCTTTTTTATCAATTGGGATAAAAGCCTCAGTAAGGCGAATCACCAAATCATGACAGCTACTAGATATTCCATACAGATAAAAGAAAACCTGTGGTAGCAGAATCATGATGTGGGAAGGTTTTTTCTTTTTTAGTAGCAACATGGAATCTGTAGAAAGACTTGAACTAGGCCTTTTATGGAGACTCTTCAGTCAGTCTGACAGAAACTATATTGCAAAAAATATGTAAAAAATGTTTGAGTCACAAGAATTGTAAACTAGAATCTATATATCATTGAATCTTTGGGCTAAATATAAATACAGGCAAACCTTTTTCACATTTTTGTTTGTAAAAAAAGCAGACTGCCAATACGTAAAACTATCTAAAACACTAAATGGTATATCTATCACAACAAATTACAGTAAGGTCTCCAGTTGGGGTATGAAACCTACTGCAGGTCAGGGAGCTCATAGAGTCTATTTAAATGCGTATGGATACTCAACAGCTACCTTATAATCATGACAAATAGTTTCCTTCAACATCGCATGTCATACTAAACAGCCATGGGCTTAATGGTTTGGATAAAAAGGCCTTAAGTATCGAGGCAGAGCGCGACCGTGTCTCCGGTGACAGCAAGCCAAGCGAGCAAGTAATTCCTGTCCAAACAGAGTGACTGAAGACGCTGCCGCTGCGTAACTTCTCTGCCTTAATTCAATTCCCTGCCTTGATGTTGTCCCTCCGCCCTCTCCTCATTTTTCTCCCTCGTCTCTCCCCCTAACCTGCGCTCCACGTCGCTCCAAAGCACTCCTGACGGATAACAAGTCTGGCTGTTTGTTTGAGCCCGTGTTGGCTGCGCGTGTTCGCCCCATTATCTCCGCATAAGCTAAATGCTAAATTATATTTGCCATTTTGTTTGCGGTGACATGGGGCATCAATCACCTCCCATTTTTTTTCCTTTTTTTTCTCAGTTCCTCCCTCTCTTCCTCTGTTGCGGCAGGAGAGGTTGAGAGGTGGGGTAGGCTGAAGGTGGAGGGGTAGAAAAGGGGGGGTGGGCATAAAAAATTCATTATGCTTAGTGGCACATCAGCAAGGGAGAGATATGACTCCTGGAGGAGAAGAAGGCAGGATGGGGGGAGTAGTTGATAATGATGAAGAATATCAAACATAATGCGGCCCAAGTAGCTGCCCCATCCAATTTGTCCTCGTCGCGCCATGATCGCTTCCTTCGTGTTCGCACCTCGAAAACAAGCGCTGTGAGGACAATGAAGCATCTATTTGTGGTCCCTTCCATGCAGATGCAAAGAATACAAATGATGAGAGTACGGGGAAAAGAGAGGGAGACTGAAAGTCCTTTGAAGTTCTTCTCTGACTGAGTCTCCACCACCAGAAGCACTCCAGGGAAACCAAAGACAATACTAGTTGGAGTCCCACCAACTAGCCACCTTTCCCTTAACGAGGAATGACGCTGTGTTTTTACCTGACTCTACATTTGATGGACTGAGCGCACACTCTTACAGTCAGGAGCCCATCTGTGTCTGTCAGAGACCGGTTGATGTCAGCAGGGACATCATTGCCTTCTCCTTCTGACAGGGCTTGATCATGAGAACTGGCGCGCTCCCAGGCTCCCCTCGGCCCCGCTCTCATTTTCATGTCTCTGACACATGTTCATTTGCGTGTCTCTGACATGCGGATCATGTTGCGCACGCACAGGGGCCGTGGCCTTTGATCCTGAGAGGCAGAGAGGACGCTCCACCCAGAGGCGGAAGGAAGTTTTAAGGCTTGATTTGTATGGAGCTGATGCAGTTGTGATCAGCGATATTCTAGGCTTTGCTGTGTGTGTGTGTGTGTGCGTGCGTCCAGTTTTAGAGACTTACACATGAAGAGGGGGCACAGGCGATGGCTCGTAGAAGTACCTTCCCTGGGTGTGTCTCTCGTCAATTGGCACCGGAGGATGGAAGGTGGGAAAGAACGGGGGAGCGGCTGTGTGGAAAAGAAGAGATGAAAAACTCTTTTAAAATATGTCTTCATATTTCCATACAAATTCATTCATTCCTCAGCTAATCTGAAAGCCTAGCTGTAATAAGAGGCAGTAATTGACACCAATCTTTCAGCAGACCCACCCAAAACGAGAGCTCATTAATGCGGCCCTGCTCTGAAACCTGCGCTGAGAGTCTTGGTTAACCTTCATTCATATTTCCATCATCCCCCAGCTTCCAAGTTGCTGCTGAAGAACAGGAACACCCACAGCTTGATACTGCCACTGCCGTGTTTCACTGATAATGTTTGTTTCGTCAACAATGACTAAATTATTTCATATTTTTATGACGATAACGAGAACTTAGGAGCTAGATGGGGAGTGGCGTTCTAGTGGTTGGGGCATTGCGCTTGGGTCCCGGAGGTTCTTTGTTCAAGCCCCACTACCACGGACTACCAGTCTGGGTCCCTGAACAAGACCCTTAATGCCACAGAATGGCAGCCTACTGCTCCCCAAGGGGATGGGTTAAATGCAGAGAGTTAATTTCGTTGTTCTGTACTTGCGACAGTGTAATGACCATGAAGTTGATTCTTCTTCTTCTAAACATGGATCTCTGTTGACGAAACAGGACGTGTCATGGGTGTGAGTTTTCATTGACGGGACAAGACAAAATAAATATGTTAGATGGTGGTCGATCAGACTTTTAAAATGTAAACTGTTAGACGAGCTACGGGTATCAGTCGTACTGCTGCGTGTGTTCGCTCTCAGTTGTTTTAATCATTAATGATTTGCTTGTACAGGGTTTCACCTTAGCCAGATGTCTTAGAAGGTGATCCAATCTGTCATTTTGAATGATCAATTGAACAGTTCTTTGTGAGATATTTAAGGTTTGGAGCAATGTTAACTAAGCTTTAAGCTATGTTTACAATAGAGCAGCCATGCAGAAAGGCAGAGAAAGACATACTTTTTTATATATATTTTGCATGTCTATGTGAATCCATACTGTCTTTAGCTAATCCAAATCACAGCTGTAATGAAAGGCACTGGCTGATGGCTATCTTTTAGAGGAGCCACCCAAAATGAGGGCTCATTAAACGTGCTGAGCTAAAAGATGCCCTGATCCAAAAGGTTTTCTGAGCCAGTGTTTCTAAATGTCTCAAGGCTGATAGGGCTTTAAATAAACAGTGGTAAATAACCAAAAGAAAAGCAGCCAAATGGCACATTTCTCACTGTGCCCGGCATAATGTGGTTTCACACAAAGGATAACATTTAAGTATGACCAATGGAACGCACCGAACGAGAACAAAAAACATCCTTTTCCGGAGGCTTCTCCCCACCCTACCTCAGAGAAAACATTACAACATTTGCATAATATGTGCTAGTAAGCCTTTTTCTCTATTTTTACCACTGAAATTGAAACTCTTGCAGTGAAAACAGTCTAAAATCCCACATATGTACCTTAACTACACTCCAAAAAATGTAAAACTAAATCTGGATTTGAGCCTTGGAGCACCAACTTGCTTACTCTTGGACAAGTCAAAGCAAGCAAACCATGAGTAGGAATTCTTCAGCAATCGCTGCCAACCTGAGTTGTGAAACTAAACAAAAAGGCAAATGAAGGATTTCATCTTCATTCACTTTTCGCTCTTAAAGCACGTGTCGCTTTATTGCCGAGGCCAAGCTGCGTCTCAGCACCCCGAGGCAAAGCATGTGTCAACATCTGTTTAACTTCACTCAGCAAGTCTAACGCTGCAAGGTATGTGTTTTTACTTCTTGTTTTCGCCTGTAAACATTTGAGCCAAGTGGGCAGATGGCCAAACAGCAGGGGGGGTTCCAGGCATTTGTCATGGCCAGGCCATGACAAATGCAGCTGCATTGCTGGGCAGCGCAGCAGGTGTTGATCTGGGGCTGCTTACCTCATCATTTACTCATTTCATAGAGACTTTAAGCGCCAGATTTTGATAAAACACAGACAGTCCGGAGGTGATCCGGTTGGTGTTGTTTACAATCCTACAGCATTAGGGTAAAGCATCAAAATTATTTTCCTTAGAGAGACAAACAAAAGACACATTTGAAAATAACCAAAACATAATACACTAAAATCAAAGCCAGATAAGATTAAGAGTATCTGTTTTAAACCGGAAAACTTATTAAAAAGTCATGTCTAGAAATATTTCTGGAAGCATAACATATTTTTTTATTACATCAATATGGACAGAACAAAAATGTTTACACTTTCACAATGATTTTCAGAGTTATCAAAAATGTACATGTGTAGATCAGATACAGCAGGCCATGGGGTGAACAGCTTATGGGTTGAAACTAGACCATGGGAGAGTAGTGGGTGCTTTGAAGTTTTGCACCAAGGTTGTTGATAGCCCCCTCCAACCTGGAGGTTTCCCCCAACACAAAGGGTGTTGGACCAGAATCTGCCTCTTTGTCCCATTCCTCAGTTGATTTTGGGTTTGTCCAAGTATTGACAGGACATTCCAGTCATGCCCATTGTCTTCAGTGACCACTGATTCTGTTGGCGAAGGTCTCTGTGTGATGGTCCAGCTCATGCTTGGGAATCAGGTTTCGAGAGTTATATGGACACGTTTTCAGTATATTGGCGAGTTCTGGGTGAATCTTCCTGCACTTAATCAAATTATAAGGGAGGCGGCAGGATCGGATTTGGTGGTTTTTATCAAAGGGAAACTGCAAAAGGCCTCTCTGGATCCAAGCTGTCATCATTTTCCACTTGTTACAAAGGCCCAGTGCTGGATCTGAGGTTTGGGAGAGTAGCCATGCACACAAAGTAAAGGGAAATCTTCAAGCAGAGTGTCTAGAACCACAGGGTATTTAGATGCCAATAAGTTTTTTTCCATATGGAGCATTAAACCCCTTGTTCATCAGCACCTGCTTGGTAGCAAGCTGAAGATGTCTACCACACTTCCCCTAACTTACAAAAAACAGCTGTTTGGATGCTTGGAAATAGTTGTGGATGGGAAGAACATACACACATACACACATATATATATGTAAAGAATTCCAATGAAAGTAATTTTCTAAAATATAAAAATGTGCCTGTTTCATTTTAACTGTTTTTGCATTACGTCTATAGAGACCTTCTTACCTGAATGCCTATTTCTCCAAACCTACGCAGCGCATAATAATGGCCCCAAGCTTTACAATTATTGTTCTTTGCTGTATGTGCTGTAGTTAAAAAATGTGTCTTCATTGTCCTCATCTGACAAATGCAACATCAGCATTTCTGGGGAAAATCTAGAATACTCACAGAAGAACAGACACATTTCTACAAGAGGGAGTTGTAATCCTCATTGGTATTAAATTAACTCTGATATGATAAATTGTGGGACTTTACCGGAACAGACAAGATGACCAACAGTTCTTTTAAATCTGTGTAGAGGAATGTATAGAGATGTGTTTAAGGGTATGGATGCTGTTTAATAAAAGAGCTGATTTAAACTTCCTCTTAATTTCTTCCTCTAACCGGTCTACTCCGTTCCTTCAGGAGACCTGACCAAAGCGCTTTACACTCCATTCAGTTGTTTAACCCATTCACGCACACACTCACACACTGATGGTGGAAAGCTACATCTTAGCCACAGCTGCCCTGGGGCTCACTGACAGAAGCAAGGCTGCCATACACTGGTGTCACCGGGCACTCTGACCACCATCAGTAGGCAATGCGGGTGAAGTGTCTTGCTCAAAGACAAAACAACACTGAAACCTTTCAACCGTTTCAGGGCAACTTCCGACGACACTGTATTTGTTCACAAATGTCTTCTATTGGACCAATGAGGCCTTTCAGAACATCTGTACTTATATTTTACAAAGAGGTGGACAGTGGTCACTCATTGGGCAACTTTATAAGGTATTCCGTTACACAAGGCTCTTTTTATGGGTGTTTACCTAAATAGGCTAGATAATATTGCACCCACTTTTAAGTTTTTCATATGTACAAGAAAAGCAAGGACCCATTTTTTTCCACTTCAAGTTATGCATTACTTTAAGTTCCTCTTACAAACATTTACGATTGCAATGTGAAATGATGATGGGGGGGGGGCCCAAAGGGGATGAACACTTTTGCAAGGCGCTGCGAAAAGTAAAAGTTTTAATCCAGCACTCCCAGTTACAGAGATAAGTGCTACAATCCGACTCCATGCAGCTCTGGGAAGTATCTGACCACTCCAACTCTGCCTGTTTGATGGTTTTCTCCCGATGATGTTTTTCTGGCTCGGCTCACGTTGGCTGATTTCAGAGCTGCTGCTGCTGCTGCTGAGGGAGGAAGGGATGAGGGGAAGCTGGGATGAGCTTGTAGTAGACGAAGGCAGAATCTGATCTGTTTACTCTGCGCGGCTCCACTCGTGGGCTTTTTCCGCCCTTTTGGCTGTCAGACTCGGAAATGAAGCTTTCAGGTTTTACACCGTGCAGTGTGCACACCAGCCCGCTGCTGGTAAAAAATTCATGCTCTCTAATCTAGCTCCTCCCCTGCCCACATAGCAGGAACTTTGTACTAACCTCTGTCATCCCGGCCGATCAGAAGGAGGGAGGATGACTGCAGAGATTACAAACTGCGAGATAATTTCAAAGACTCCACCTATTTGCTTTTTTGCAACACATGCTTTCATTCCCACATCCAGCACTCCTCGTTGAATTACCCAGACCTCTTTTGTTTATGTCTCAGGAGGCACTCACTCAGCGCAGCCCACTGCATAGTCCAGACCCTTTTTCTCTCTCCTTCATCACTCCTTCCCTCCCTCGCTGCCGCACGCCGAAACTATTCCACTGAGGTTTATTTAAATCGTCTCACAAGTTTACTTTACCATAGCCCTGTCTAAATAGAGCCTGCCACCTCTTTTACACCAGCGCAGCTCTCCATTAGCAAGGCAAACATGCTCGTGTCACTGGAGGGGAGAATGTATACAGTCACAGAGAACAGAGAGCAAAGGAAAAGTGGGGGAGCGCCTCCATCCTGCAATCCATCTCCACTGTTTCCTGT